TTCTTTAACTGCAACTACAAACCGGGCAATACTTAGTAAATTTTTTATGTAAAATACTTCCAGATAGTTGCCTCTCCATACTCAAATGCAATGTAGTTAAAATATATTAAGGAACCATCATAAAATTAGGACTATTTCTGGATTTTTAACTTTTTGATATTTTCTGTACTGATGTACTGAGCTATAACTTTACATTACATAAAAAATTGCTCCTTTAATAAAGATTTCAGAAAGGTGCCACACTTACTGTTTTGAATAGAAAAAAAAAGTTATAGCCGCTTTTGTGGGTAAAGGACTGAGACACGCTCAAATTGTGCCCTCTAACATGAATAATTGAGACCTCACTATACGGACCTAACCCGCGACTTGATATTGTCACACAAATGAAGGGACCTGCAGTTTAACGCCGACTCCGAACAGCCAATTGTGTTTATTTTTATGAGAAGGTTTGTCATGATTGTAATACACTGGAAGGTTTTCCATTGCCTGTCAAGGGCGACCGTTATTAGAAAAACGCTTTTTTTAATGTTGCTGGTGCCAGGTATTGAACCCTGGACTTACCGAGTGGCATTTTCTCTAACCACTCGGTTAGTTTACTCATATTTATAAATTAATTACAGATAAAATCTACCAACTTACCCAGAAGAATTTGCAATGGTGCCCAATTCGGATTTTCACAAATTGTTATTCTTGATAACTCATCATAGTTGGCCACGGCTTTTATAACATCGAGAACTGCTTGAAGAGCTTCTATCTCGTGCGGGTTGATATAACGGCTTAAGTGGACTTTATAAGATGGTTCACCGCTATTACAATGCTCCTGTCGCAAATTTCTAAAGATAGAGCAGAATATTAACATTAAGTTATTTAAGAATATATTTTCACAAATATGTTTTACAGTTAAATTAGGGTGAACAATTTTTATGTTGATTTTTTGCATGTTGGTGAATTCGTTTTTAAAAACTGCTAGGATAGTACCAAGGAATGCAAAACTTGATTTACATGAATCAGGTGGTTGTGGAATCACCGCCATCCCGAAACCAAAGGTGGACAAGGTTTTTGCTAACTCAGAGAAATAGCCATTTTAGGGCCTCGACCATAATATCTTATGAGGACTTTGCTCCATCTCATAACAATTTTTTTTACAGAGGATTGAAACTTCCTCTTTGTAGTGAAAATTCTATAATTTTTCGTGTTACATTATGTATTTTATGTAGAAAAATTTGCAGTTTTGCATTACTATGGGACATTTTACCCCCCTATATATATATTTTTTTTTTTGAATTTTACCACAACGCAATCAAAGGTAGGTGCAGGATTTAATGTTTTATTTGCCGGTACAGAAATAGATAACACAAAAACAGTTCATATCAAAATACAGTACATATTTGGTGGGGTGCGATAAAGCCATGCGAGATAACGCCATATGGCCTTATCACTCAATTCAAAGAGAGATAAAGCCATATTCGCGCCAAAATTTCTGTATGGCTTTATTTCCAATTTCAAAGAGCGATAAGGCCATATGGCGTTATCTCGTATGGCTTTATCTCTCATGTGATTTTCCCTTTTACGGAATATTTTCTGCTCTATATGCATTCAAGAAGGTGTAAGCATTCTGTAAAAGGGAAAAATCGGTGACATGTCATAGTCCCAACTGGCAAAATCCGGTGGGGTGCGATAAAGCCATGCGAGATAACGCCATATGGCCTTATCACTCAATTCAAAGAGAGATAAAGCCATATTCGCGCCAAAATTTCTGTATGGCTTTATTTCCAATTTCAAAGAGCGATAAGGCCATATGGCGTTATCTCGTATGGCTTTATCTCTCATGTGATTTTCCCTTTTACGGAATATTTTCTGCTCTATATGCATTCAAGAAGGTGTAAGCATTCTGTAAAAGGGAAAAATCGGTGACATGTCATAGTCCCAACTGGCAAAATCCGGTGGGGTGCGATAAAGCCATGCGAGATAACGCCATATGGCCTTATCACTCAATTCAAAGAGAGATAAAGCCATATTCGCGCCAAAATTTCTGTATGGCTTTATTTCCAATTTCAAAGAGCGATAAGGCCATATGGCGTTATCTCGTATGGCTTTATCTCTCATGTGATTTTCCCTTTTACGGAATATTTTCTGCTCTATATGCATTCAAGAAGGTGTAAGCATTCTGTAAAAGGGAAAAATCGGTGACATGTCATAGTCCCAACTGGCAAAATCCCAAGTAAAAAAGTTGGGATTATGACACTCCCCTGCAGTGTCATAATCCCAATTTTTTTACTTGGGAATATGACACTGCAGAGGGAGTGTCATACTCCCAATTGGGATTTTGACACCTTTGAGCTGGTTTCCCTTTTACGAAATGTGCAAAAAAAAATTTGTTACTTTTTTTAACTTGGGATTTTGTCTAATTTTTATTTGGGATTATGACACCCAGCCTGCGTGTCATAGTCCCAAGTAAAAAAATTGGGATTATGACACTGCAAGGGGAGTGTCATAATNTTCACAATGACAAATAAATTCATATGAGAGATAAGGCCATATGGCTTTAACTCACAATTGACAAAAAAAAAAATATGGCATTATCTCTCAATACGAAGCGTGATAATGCCATATGGCTTTACCTCGCAATTTGATGGGAGATAGAGCCATATGGCGTTATCTCGCATGGCTTTATCGCACCCCACCTACATATTTATGTATAAAACTAGTTTGAGAAGAAAACTAGAGGTTGAGGTGAATATTTGGAAAAAAATTATAGATAATTTTTGTCAAAAGATGTCGGTCTAAATTTAAATGGTTGCAAATCAATCAAATATGAAAAACCACATGCATTTTTTTTAATATACTAAAATAATAATAGATTGGCAGTTACATGTATGCTACACGGTAAAAATGTTGGGGTTAATTTTTAAACCGAGCTGGGACTGCTGCCTTTTTAATCTTTTTTAGTCTACTTTTTAAACCAGTCAATAGTTTTAGTAAATTTTTTAATATATCGAGGGCTTATATTCGATACCCTCTTTCTGCAATTTTCACAAAAACTACTTTGCGATGTTAGAAGCCATCTGGACTTTACCTGTCATCACTGATGTTAATTCTGATTTTGGAATTTAAGATAAAATTCTTCTGTCAAGCGTTATCAAGGTCAGCATTAATATCACCGATGACAGTTAAGTCTAAGATCAAGATCTCATTTTTGTGAATAGTGCATATAGAGGGTATTGAATACAAGCTCTCGATATTCTGGTTTAAATTTTAGTCCAAGCAGCCGAGAAAATGAAGTTTTCTATAAGTGGTTTAAAATAAAAACCAAATACTTCGTGATTTCAAATATAGGCCCTATTTTTTTAAAAATCAAACCAAAATGTTTTAATCCTAGTTTCTAGCTTCATATATAGAAATTTTTGTTTAAAATCTAAACCGAAATGGAACATTTTTGGGTTTAAAATTTTAACCGAACTGGTTTGTTCTTTATTATTACTAAAATATGCGTAATAAATATGCAAAAACAGGATTTTTTGCAAAGTATGCAAAACCACGCATTTACTGCAAAATATGCACCAATAACAGATCCATTTAAAAGGAAATTTCATGATTCATAAAGATAACTCAACCATTTCCATTGAAGATGCCCAATAAAAGCATGCAACTTAACTTCGGGTGAGCCCGGTTCACGTTTTAAAAATAATTTTAAACGTACGTCTTATTGCAAGACTGATACCAAACTGAACTTTATTCGAAAATAATCTTATTGCTTAAAATTATGTTTACATGATTTCTTAGCCATAATTTCAAATTAGTTCTTTGGGAATTGCATTATTGAACATATTGGGTTTCATTCTTAACAAAGTCACTATTTATTCACCTGCAGTTTGTTGCCATTGCAACTTTATTTCTTAGTCATAGCTTCAAATTAGTTTTTTTGGAATTGCATCATTTAACATATCAATTTCATTCTTAGTAAAATCAACTTAATTGAAAGGCAAAGGCTACTGTTTACTCCCACCTTTCATTAAAAGAATCGTCTCGATTCTTCAATTTGGCTTGTTAAATGATTTATTTCTATAGTGGCTCATGCAGCAATTCTTCTTGTTTTTTTTATGATCTGTTTTTATTCCAAACTTTATATATTTTATAAATTTTGAAAAATACATATATTAAAATATTACAAATATATTTGTTACAAAGGTCCAAAATGCAGAGTGTGACTTTATTTCAGTTTTTACAGAATTAATTAGATTCACATTTTGAAATTTTAAATTATTATTCTGAACATATTTCCAAATTTTTTAATAAATATTTTCATATACTTTATTATCAATATTTGTGTAATTTTCAAAAGTAACAAAGTAAACTACATTTACGTCATGCCTGTCAATTTTATGATTTTCTGAAACTAAAATCGCTCCTTTAATTGCATCTATTTCTTTATTTTTTTCTCTAATCTTTTTATATTTAGCTCTTTTCTCTAATAAACATCTGATTAATAAATATTTGTATTATTAATAATTACATATTCTGTTTTACATTTTGCAATTTAATTTCCAATTAACAATTTACCATCTGTTTGTGCAATTGCTCTTACTTCATAATACTTACAATCAAGAAAAAATTTCCGATACTTCCTGCAATTACATCTTTATTTTGTAATATTTTAAAATCCTCCTTTTTCACTTTGAGTTATATTTGTTAATTCATCAAAATGTAAAATTGCTGCTCAATTCTTATTTTTGCCATAGATATTGTATGAACTAGATTTTGTAATTAAATCATTAAAAATTTATATTTTTTGGTTCCATTAATAATTTAGGGTGGTATTATCACTTGCGAAGCGAATAACCGTTCGCTTCGCCAAATTCGTTCACAAGTAATAATACCACCCTTAACATGCGAATTTTCATTTATATTTTTAATTGTTTCTGTTAATCGTAATAATAATAAAAGTAATAATTTTAAAAATTTCAGAGTTGGTTGTGTTTTGCTTATTGTAGTTTTCGATTAGTTCATTTAATTAATATTAATTAACACTAAATCATCATGATCAGGTGTTCCTGCTATCCATTTCCATAATTTTCCTAATTCATTTATAACTCTTTTATGTCCTTTATCTTTCTTTTGTAATTGCTCTAACAAAGCTTCTATAAGTTTAATTTCTGGTTCTGAATCAAAATTATTAATATATATTACATCATGTTCACTTTTTCTTGTAAATTACCATATCCGTATTTTTCATTATAATAATTTTTGTCTGAGGTTATTAGTTCTTCAAAATATGTCAAATTTGTGATATGAAAAAGGTCTCCATAGTCATTATACAAAGCTACATCTCCATCCTCTATTAAGCTAAGCGTACACGGTAGAGAAATATCTCTAGAGTTTTACTGAAATAAAAATCTCCTGTCTCAATTAAGTTTACACGGTAGAGCAACTCTTGGAGATATTCCCTCTAGCTAGAGACAAAATAGAGAAATCTCAACTTTTATCTATCACGTACTCTACAAGCTGTGTACACGGTAAACAATAGTTACCTCTCGCCTAGAGTTAGTTTTCTATCTCGAATTGTTGTCAACGCTTGTTGCATGTATGTATATGTATTTATTTCAAAGCCACGATGGAGAAAATATAGTTTGCGCCATCAGCGGAGCGCTAACCTTTCGTCGATTTGACAGCATTCACCTTTTTTCTGACGTCATAAAATACATTTTCGCAATATGAACAAGAATTGAATTTTCAAACTGTACTTATTTGCCGAAAAAAATGTTACCTAAAAGTAGACAAATGTATCTAAAAATTAAGCATGGCAACCTCTCTCTTCGGTACTATGAGTACTTTT